GGGCACCTATGCCGCTGGGAGTTCTTCAAGCCTCACTCAGCAGAAGCCTGTAAGTCTTGCCTTTGATGCAAGGCTATTTGCTGAAAGATGTCGAGCCCAAGGGTTGTTTAATCTCTTGCCCACAAAACCCATGCACATATTCCTTCCCTCGTCAATCCTCCTAAAATCTCTGCCTTTGTGGATGGCTGTTTCATGTGAGACTGCTTCTCCAAGTACATGACAGCTTATTTGTCTAGGTGGGAGTTCCTAATAAATACATCATGTTATGTAGATGAGATGTCCTCAGAAGGGGAAGGCTGTCTTCAAGTTTCAATCCTGAGAGTAAGAGAAGGTAAAAGGGCCCAACAGTGTATTAGTAGTTAACTTAAATAAAGGATTTTTTTTCCTAAAGCAATACCTACATTAATAGAAAAATAGAACCAAATTTTTGTGGTGTTTTTTTTTAGATTAAGCTAATAATGTTCTATATGTAAGTTCTTATCTTTGTAACTGAATGCTCCGGCAGGCTATATTAAGACTGAAAGTATGCCAGACGGTGGATATAAACTGCATTGGCCGGGAGCGTCACCATGGTTTAGGACAGAATGAAGCTATCCCTCTGGCCTGTAATACCAGCCCTCAGGAGGCTGAGGAAGGAAGACTGCTGTGCGTTCGAGGACAGCCTAGGCTACCCCTCAAAAAATCAAAACTGAGAGAGAGGAGGGAAGGAGGGAGAGAGGGGGGAGATAAAAAGGGGTGCAGTAAGAAGAGAGAAACTAGCAAGGAAAGTCTTTTTTTTACAGTGATTATTTGAAGAAAAAAGAGCAAGATGATGTGGTAGAGTATGAGGAGTGCTGTAATCTGTCTTTAAAATGTTATATGTTCAAACCCCCTAACTCCCCCCCCCCCCCCGTGTCCCCACTTCCCTCTCTGTACCCTCAGTGCTGGACGTGATCCCAGGGCGTCACCCTGTGAGACAGGTATTCTACCGTTGGCCTATTTCAGCAGCCTTGTCTCTCTTCTAAAATGATTTCTCCATCTTTACTATTTGGAGAATATCTGTCCTCAAAGGTACGACTAAGAGCTGCCACCTTCATTAGTCTTTATCTTACACCTTCGTCACATTCCCCTGGTGCTTGGGACATTTATGGCCTGCTTGGCATTGCCTGGGAGTGCCTGTTGCCTCTCTCACCCAGCAAGTGTTGGCAAAGTTGGATTTTGACAGCCCAGAACCAGGGACACACTTGTACCTCTCCAGGCCCTGCCTTCCTAGTTGGATCCTAAATTCCCACTAATATGTAATTTTTAGTTAGCCCTTGTATGTTCATTTCTGCCTTTTCCTTGGGGGAATAGTTGCTTCCTATTATCCAGAAGGTACTGGTCCTTGAGGTCGAGGATTCTATTCTGAGGCAATCACCCCAGGTTTGGTTTTAGTGTTGTCTTCTGTCTCCCCAAGTTGTGGGGCTAGGATCCTTCAATCCCTTGGTTTCTCCCCCAAACTTTGTCCCCTATTCAGCCCCTCCCTTCCTTGTGCTGGGGTATCCACTCTGCCCCCGGGGCCATGAGTACTCAGCCCTGGCTTGCTTCTGGAAATATTTCAGTTGCCAGTTGATACTCTGAAATGTTACAGCCACCTGTAAAGGCAACGCACATAAGCAGCCTGCGGCAGTAGGACAGCCTAGAGCCATGTTACTGGGGCTGTGAGAGTCAGAGCCTGGACCTGGGCGGCCCTAACAAGCTGGACTCTGCCACCATTCTCAACAGGCTGTGTGGAGAGTGATAGAGCAAAGCAAGAGACTGATTGAACACGGCCATGCCAGGAAGAAGGCCCTGTTCAGGGCTCCTGCCATGAGGCGTTTAGGCTCGAATAGACGGTTAAGAGCTATGCACAGTGAAGCAAGCAGTCCTGGCCGAGGTGTGCTCCTGTCTGTAACTGATTCATCATTCTACAGCTCCAGTCATTCTTCTTGGTGCTCAGGGCTGCAAGAAAGCTCTCTCCAGGAAACAGGCTTCTCCTCTGGCTGGCTTCAGGCTTTTTTCCTTCTCCCAGCCCAAGATTCTGGGGGAATTTTTTTTTAATTCCTGAGGGACCATTGTTCCAATAGTCTGATAACCAAAGGGTGTCCTCTAGAATGTTCACCTCTCCCAGGACAGTGCCACAGGGTCAGGTGACTGTGTGCTGGGCTCCTCAGCCTCCTGCTTGTGTAGGTGTGGCATAGCTTAGGAAGGCTCCTGGAAAATGTAGAGAAAACCACTGGCTCAAGTCTCTGGATCTGTGTTTAGGATCATGAATTAGAAGCCACAGCAGCTAATCATGCTACAAGGTTCCATGTACAGAGTTTAAACTTCCGGAGGCCTCTGCTTGCAAGCCTAGGATCTCTTGTATATGAATTCCTACGTGAACAAGGAACACCTGCTGTAAAGACAGCCTGAGGGAAGAATATGATGCCTGGCAAATCCTGGCACATAGCTGTCTTCTACCTCATCGTTACACTTTGGTCTGCCCCCTCTATTCCAGATAACAGCTCTCCCTGTTTGCTCGGTTATGTATCTACTTGCTGTGCTGAAACCCAGACCTGCCCTGTGATATCGCAGGCCAGGACTTTCCTCATCAGCTCCTCTGTGCCAGATGGTCAGAGCTAACACTCTGGTCCGTAAAGATACTTGCATAGCTCTCCTCCAGCACAGGCATCTTTCCTTTCCCGGCTCTTTATAGTACTACAGCAGCACTGTGCAAGGTTTTTTGTTTTTCAAAGTGAAATTGATTTTAATAATGTTTCATTTAATGCAACATATTTTCTGTACCAATAGGTCAGCATAAAATACTATTGACGTATTTTAATTTTTTCTTTTTGTAGCAGGTGTTAACAATCGGCTTTGTGACTTTCCCTCTGGCTCATCTCGACTCAGATGAGCCACACTGCAACTGCTCAATAGCTGCATGTAGCAATTGCTTTGATACAGGCCAATGCTCTTCAAACTATCTGGGGCCAAATGTTACTTGTTCGTTCTTTGTTACCTAGCTCTCTCAGCACCACTGGAAGCCATCTACAACAGTGGTTTTAAGTATACAAATCAAAAGCTAAGAGTGGAAGTAGCTCAGGTGATGGAGTGCTTGCCTAGCTCTGGGTCTGATCTCCGTCAGTGCATAAGCTAGGCACGATGGTGCATACTTGTATGTAATGCCTCCCAGCAATGGGTGTGCCTGTGAGTGTGTGCACACGCATGTGCGTTCAGGTGGTTGGGTGTGCCCGCACGTGTGATGCCACTTGTAGAGGTAGGAAGATCAGACGTTTAGTTCATCTTGGGCTACGTAGTAAGTTTGAAAACAGCCTGGATTATATGAGTGAGTGTGTATGTGTGTGTAAATACATATGTATATTAAATTATATGTAACATTATTTATTAGCACATTTAAATATGTATTTCTACTAAAGGTAAAAATTTCTGCTAGAAGATTGACTTGATGTTATTCATGGACCTAGATTGTTGTCTGAATTTTACTCAGATTCAGTAAAACTGCAAATATTTTTACTCAGATTCAGTAAAACTGCAAATATTTTGGTATTTGATATAAAAATTTTATTTTAGACATATTTTATTTTCACTTAAAAAACTTTAAATTTATGTATAGAAATACAGTTCGCATATTAAATAACACTATAATAGAATGCTTGGATATAGGAAAGGGGTTTTGAGACATGGTTTCCCTGTATAGCCTTGTCTGTCCTGCAACTTGCTCTATATAGACCAGGCTGGACTTGAACTCACAAAGATCTACCTGCCTCTGCCTATGAGTGCTGGGATTAAAGGAGTGTGCCACCACTGCCCAACAATTTTATAGTTTTAAACAGAAGAAAAAAAGAAAAAAAATTAGCTTATAAAATTTTTCCCCAAAAACAATTTTTTAAATTACTTTTCAAAATGGGTCTTTTAGACAAATGTATTCAGTAACTAATCATATCTAATTGTTATCTGTATATATAGAGAAGTGTAGACATAGTCTAAAATTTAGAAAGGTTGCTAGGAGTGGTGGTACCTATCTTTAATCCTAATCCTAGCAGCTGGGAGGCAGAAGCAGGTGGATCTTTAATGCGTTCAAGGCCAGCCTGTTCTACATGGAAGTTTTAGTTTAGCCAGGGCTACACAATGAATTTCTGTATCAAACAACAACAACAAAACAACAAAAGAGGAGAAGGAAAGGAAAGGAGACCAAGAAAAGATGAGACTAGGTTATACAGAAAAAGAAAATGCAAAAGGACATGGGAGTCATGAAAGATCTAAAGCTATTTGTTTTTCTAGTTTCACCTTCATTATCCCTTTTCATAGTAGATATATGAATTCAACTTTCTGAGTATATAAAATAGCAAAATTTTATTTTCATTTAAAGAAATCCAATGTGTTATTTCTTTAAGACAGTGATTATGAGAGGCAGGCTTGCTTTCTAATGCCACTACCCATTAGACATATTTATTTTATCTCCCTCCTTATTTTATATTTATGCTTCAAATAAAAACAAAGTCGCATTTGTTCATGGCCTTGGCTCTTTCCTCAGGTATCCAAGAGAAGCTGGATTATATCAGTGCTTTAAACATAAAGACTATTTGGATCACTTCCTTTTACAAATCATCTTTGAAAGATTTCAGATATGCTGTTGAGGATTTCCAAGAAATTGACCCTATTTTTGGAACAATGAAAGATTTTGAGAATTTGGTTGCGGCCATACATGACAAAGGTAAATGGAATGAGAAGTGTGGGTATGAGTGTGGCTGGAGAATGCCCTGTCTCCCAGCTCCCACCTACCCATCTTCCCCCTAACTGTCATTCCCCTAATGCAGCCTGTTCCTAACATTTGAAATGTTTTTACTCACTAGGTTTAAAATTAATAATTGATTTCATACCAAACCACACTAGTGACAAACATCCTTGGTTTCAATCGAGTAGAACACGGAGCGGGAAGTACACTGATTATTACATCTGGCACAACTGCACTCGTGACAATGGTGTAACCATTTCTCCCAACAATTGGGTAAGGACAACCGATGGGCAGGTAGAAAGCAGGCGGCTCTAGACTGACTGAACTGGAGGTGTGCAAACCCTTTAAGGAAAAGCATCGATGGAATTAGTTTAAAAGTAGAAACCACTTCCCAAATGGCTTTTAGGTCTCTAACTTCATGTTGAGCTGGTGTGTTCTTGTAGGGGCTCCTCCCACCACTAGGGTCTCCTTCCCTCTGCCCCTACTTCCCACCGTGTCCAGCATAGGTTCTGGGTCTCCTGGATGAAAGTGGGGAAAAAAACAGCCATTTTTTTTTCTGTCTTTTACCACTCTCCAGAGCTTTTGGCTCTTTTACTTTTGACCCCCTTGCTGGACAAAATCAGAAACACAGTCATCACTTTCTCCTCCCATGAGCTTTGGCACCTGAGCCTCTGGTACATCCTATGGTATCATCCCCACCCGATTGAGCTGCTGCTTGTCTTGAGAGGTTGACAGGTCCAGGTGATCAGCATGGTCTCACTTTCCTCCACCTCCCTGCTGCCTCCTTGACAGCAAACACTACTCATACGTGCTAGGAGTCATTCTTCCTACTTGCTCTTTCTGCAAGAGACCACGTTCTTTTAGCCTCAGTGGCTGGAATTAGCAAAGACATTCATGTAGACTGGAATTTTAGATAAGTAGTGAATGAACTTTCAGTGTAAAAAACATTGTATGGGCCAGGTTCTGTATCTTCATGCTCAACCTACTGCAAACTTGTATATATATATATATATATATATATATATATATATATATATATATATATATATATATATATATATATATATATATATA